TAGTAAAGTATACTTTGGGAATATAGTTACATGTACCTACATTTGCTAAATATTCCAATTGTATTGACTATAAAAAATAGTTAATTTCTCTTATCATTCAATATTTGCTACCTTACTATATTTTTTATTTCAAATAATTATAATTCTTGGTAAAATTTTTACATGGATCAGTTATACTATGCTTATATTATAAATATTACAAACATTATGGTGACATTTACTATAAAAATGATATTCCTAACTATAATCTTTTTACTATGCCATTAGTTCCAAATATCATAAATTTTTTTCTCAGTGCACTTTTCGCAAGTGTTGCTAACAACGATATATCGTTGTTCGGCAGTATAAGGCGTTAATCGAAACGCACATCGTGATGGTGACTCATGCGAGTCTAGACGAGACATTTCGGAAGTACGTTCGCGTTACTCGAGTTCAGGCACAAAAAAGGCGCTCGCCGGATAAACGTTCCGATACTTACGGCACTCTCTAATTGCGGCTTCGCTAATTAGCACTTCCATCGCAATCGCGCGATTATTAACAGTTTGGCATTCCGGTAATGAGCTCCGACGTTACGGCGTTCGCATGTAACCGAGTGCTCATCGCGCGCGCGCGTTCCACTTGCATTACTGTCATAAAAAAATAAAACGAAAGAGAAAGAGAGAGAGAGAGAGAGAGAGGAAACCAAGAAAGCGTTTCTCCACTGCGAGAGATTCCTTCATTCCTCTCGCGCCAACGAGAAAACGTCGGAGATTCTTGATAGCGCAATAACGAGGCATTACACATTAAGCTCACAGCAAATTAAAAACTCTCTTATGTGTCTAATAATCGCCTTTTCCACGGATCTGCACGGAACGGAGCGGAGCACATGCGCGGACACACGAAAACAGACGTACATATCACATACACGCCTGTGCATACACACACACATACACATACACGTGCACACTCGGAACAGATCGTTTGATAATTCAGGCGGTCGTCGCCGAGAAATTCGCGAATACCTTAGAATTTGTGTCAGATCCTTAATAAAATATCCGAATGTCTTGCTCCATTTCTCGGTGCCTCGCTATTTTTAATAGGCTCCGTAAATTTTGCTGCTAACGGATCCGGCGCACATTTTCGCCGTTCCCATACCATATTTTTCAAATAGTTTTCTCGAAACAAAAAGTCGACTCCTCTTATTGCGCGAAAGCTCGGCTCTCCGTCCCTTCCCGGCGATCTGTCGCGACGACTCTCCCGGAGAGTCTCATTAAACGCGTCGCGACGTCCCCGTCACGCGACGAAGATGCAACAACTCGTCCGTTATTCATCGTGAGAAAATGTCTCGCGTGTTAGGAGTTAAAAAGAAGCTACCTGCGTAGGAATTTCCTAATATTTTCTCAAATGCACATTAGATTTCAATCAGAGTACCCAACCTGCTTCAGATAGATTATCCTGCTATGATACTAATTGGGAGTGCCATTCTTGTTCCAAATATGGGTTCTCTATCTAAAATTGGAACAAAAATATTAAGGAAACTCGAGCTTTTTTGAAATATTTTCTGCATCAGTTTCATTAATGCAACAGAAACAATACAAATGTTTTCTCTGGCTTACATTGTTTCATGTTAAAACGTAAAATAATATATTTTTATTTTATATATAATATAGAATACATTTATATATGAGAATAATTTGACGATCTCATACATCGAAAGAATTTGTTGGATATACTTTTAACTTTCTTAGCTCGAATGTCTTCTATCATAATTTCTTCGTAATGATTTTTTTTGCAAACACTTTGAGTAATTAATTTGCAGGTATGTGTGTATATTTACTTGTAACAAGTAAATATTCGAAGTGTTTCATATATTTTGCTAAATTTTAATTTAAAATGCAAACCAGAAAAAATCTTTGGAAAAAAGTTGGGGTGACCAAATGGGATCTGTCTAGATTTCCTTAGATTCGCATGTTTAAAATATGACACTTCTAACCTGCATAGATTTCCCATGTAGAACCTGCATAGATTTCCCATGTAGAACCTGCATAGATTTTCCATGTAGAAACTATAATTGTTGCGGGAAATCGAGCCGGGTCCTAATTAGATCCTAAAGTATTTTCTATGTAGGTAAAAAAGATATATGTAGTATACGTTTTCATTCAATTCACTCCTCCTCCCATATTGTTCTATACATTCATTCTCGCTGTGTTTCATCTCACATATTCCCAAGCTTTCGTACTTATGAGCATTCGTATTCACAGCACTTCTGTATTCTTGTATCATCGTGCGCTCAACGTTAATTCAATTAGCGTTAAATTCGGGCGATATCTCGGAAATATGCGAATGGAATACCCGATATCGTCAGATCTGCTGAAATATTTCAGCGCTCTGAGCGCTGTCACCGGGTCGACCTGAACCGTACGTTGTGTTACGCGCATGTATGTGTGTGTGTGTGTGTGTTTATGTATCATATATACAGGATTTCTGACGATAGATGAGAGAACGCCCGTGTATATATAGATTAGGTCACACCAAGTACAAGATTCCTCAACTGTTGCGAATACCACATATAAAATTCTGAGTTATTAATTAGAGAAAATCAGCGAATCGTCCACTGAGAGAAATTATTCGATAAAAAATTAACAAACGGATATTTCCGACCAAAATATCGATGAACTTTTGCATCCGATCAGGAAACATCCGATGAGAAATATCGATTCATAATTTTTTCATTGGTTCATTTGATGAAATGCCATTATGACTGGAAGTATTCGACAATATTTAATCAAATATCCTGATTGGATATAAAAATTCATCGAGTATTTTGATTGGAAATATCTCTTTGTTAATTTTATAATTTCTCTCAGTGTTGCGCGCGTTGTGATGCGGAGTGCGACGAATAAGTGCGATTTCAGTGCAGGTGTGCTTGTAAATTGGGCGAAACCGAACGAAAAGGTATTTACTATTTTGCAAACAGTTACATAGACTTTTGAGGTGTTGATCAAAGAAGATTGTCACTTCGCATCTCGCGATTATTTCCCCGATATTTTTCAATAATAACTCAAAATTTTACGCGGTCGCTTATAAAATGATGAACGAATTTTGCTTTTGGATCGATTTAATTTATCGTGTGCAGGAGCGTCCCATCTGTTGTAAGGTATATGCGTTACACTAAGAGAAACAATATTTGAAAAGAGAAAATATTTATTCGGTGCGTATTGCTAACAGATTTATTCAGATAGTTCTCAAGTAGAATAAACGACTGTTTTTAGGAAAAAGCTGAGATTTTAAGAAAACTTAAATTTTCTTGCTTGAGAAATATTTTTCTCTCGGCGCAAAAATATGTATATTAGTAAACAGATATGTGTTATTAATACTCGCTGAATAAATATCTTTTATTTCTTAGATATTTTTTTCTCTCATACAGTGCGCGCACGCGCGTGCGCAACGGAGGCACGTATTGTGCTCGCTGTGAGTAACTGTAAATCGCGCCGAAGCCATGGTCACTCGTTGTATCTTGTGCGCGAGGACTAATTAGGAGAAAGATTCCAAGACGAGCTCTCTGTCTTTCATAATGAACCGCTACGCGCTCGCAATTTCGCTCGCTTCGGCGATTTCCGGCGTTAAACTCTCGCATGTTCAAGGCGCCAGGTGACATACTCGCCTCTCGCACCTGTTCACATAATGACGACGTAACGATTTGACGTGACGACAATCACCTTGCTCGATCGTGCGACTCACGACTATGCGGTAACGATCGAAACGTGTCTGTGCGTCTGTGCGCGCGCGTGCAAATCGATTTCACGTTCGTTAGAAACTCAATTTCATTTGCGCGCCCGATAAGAGCGACCACGACGATGCGACGCGTGAAATATGGACGCACAATGAATAGCGAGATCATTACTCCTGGAGATGTGTCCACGCATTATATCGCCGAGTCGCCGGTTCAAGTCGGATGACGATCGAGGAATGATATCGCATAAATTTCTAATTTTTAATGCGAACAGAATATCCTAACTGTCGAAAGAAATGTACAATTAACTTTTATTGGGACAAGAGTAAACTATTTTTAAAGTTTTGTACGTAGAATGAATGTATATATGTACTGAGAGAGAAATAAAAATTTTTAAATTAAAAATATTCGGTAGTTACTGATGACTAAATTTAAATTCTTTTATTTAAACAAAATAAAACAATTGCTTTCGCGAACAGTTAAGGTTTCAAGAAAATGTGTGTTTTTTTATTTGAGAAATATTGGTGTAAGGAAACGTGTTATTAGGAACCACCGAATAAATATTTTTTTATTTAGATGCATTTTTTTGCAATATAGTTTAATAAGTTATTTTGTGTGATTATCGCAAATAAAGCTGAATAATCACGACAATTATATGTAGTTTTTTAATCCTTTATATAATTCACTTAATTGTGCAGTTTGATTTCAACAACTATAAAATTGTTTATTAAACTATATACGATATATCGTACATTTATTCTACATACAAAGTTTGTATAGTTGTCAGCTGTATAGTTGCTTATTACTATGCTTATTACTTATTGCTTATTACTATTTGTCCTTGAGCACAGATTCACAAAAAAAAAAGATGATTAATCGTTTCTGAGTTGTAATTTACGCATAACGCGTATAGATGACGATCAGTTATCGTCTTCCCGCAGGAATGTGAACAATTTAGACCACAGAGAGAGAGAGAGAGAGAGAGAGAGAGAGAGAGAGAGAGAGA